GATGTTCCAGTCCCTCGATCATCTTCGTTGCCCTCTGCTGGACTCTCCCCAGTAGTTCCCCGTCTCTCTTGAACTGGGGAGCTCAGAACTGGACTTCTCACTGCTAAGGGAACACAGCAAGCGAACACAGATCGCTTTCTACCCAACGTCCCCCCAGCGCTCAGCAGCTTTTCCTGCCCTGCCTGGAGCCAGACTCGTGCGGGGCAGCAGCAGAGCAGAGCAGTGCCCGCATCCCTGGCACAACACAGGCACCTCGACAAACCCCACACCCGTCTGCACAGCTCATCCACCCGCTTGCAGACCGGGTACCCAGCAGAGCTCAGCCTTCCCAGTTAAAGGGAGACGCTGGCAGGGGCTAAGACCCCAGCATGCTGGCTCTGCTTTAAAGTTGGATTAGAAAAATAAAAGGAAAAGCAAAACAGAAGAGCCACTAATAATCTCTCAGCCGGGAATGAGCACTAGCACTGAATACAGGGAATGAAAAGCAAACTCTAAATATCTAAAGACAATAGAAAATTCCTCCTCCCAGCATTGCATGTCAAGTCCTCACACTGCCTCTCTGGGGTCACGGATCATTCTCCGAGGAACCACCAAGTCATTAGGGGCCAGAAAACTCCCAGCTCTGCCGGCTTGGCGCACACTGCACTGTGCTGGAGCCTTTCCCCGGGGCAGCTTCCTCCTGAGCCACCCAGAGAGAAACCCTCGTGGCCAGAGCCCCGCACAGCCCGAAGGGCACAGCCAGCCTTGCTCCTCAGCCATTCCCAACGGAGCCGGGCAGTGCCCACCCCCCTTCCCCACTTGCCGTAGGTTTTCCTGGCAAGGCTTTCAGAGGAGCCTTGTGCCTGTGCTGTCCTGCCTGCCTCTGCTCAGCAGGGCACCTCTGCCTCATGGCTCCATCGCCCCGGGGGATTTCATGGAGGTAGGTAGTCACCCCGCTGGGCCTCAATCAGATGAAAGTTCAAGTGCCATTTCAAATGACAAAGCCCGAGTAATTGCTATTTCACTTTCAAATACCTACATGCCTCTAGCTCAGCTTCAATTAGTTTTAACTCCAGCAAATACTGGCTATTTAAATACAATAAGCAAAAATATTCAAACCCAGCCCATGTTTATCAGCCTTTGCTGTGCAAAAACTCCAGGTTTTGTTGCTAGGAGTATTTGGTTTGCAGGATTTTACTATACTCCAAGCCCTTCTCTTGTATTTCACCATGAATTCGGGGTGCTATGAGGTGTGAACGGCTTGAAGTTCGTCTCTGGCAGACTCCTGCACGGCACTGACGGGGGTGCGGGGCTGCCATCCAGCACCCCCACATCAGCGCAGGTCCTAAATGAAGGCTGGTTCATGTGTGCATCCCCAATCTAGACACATCGTCCTGCCCACACCCCGCTGCTCTTCCCTCCACAGGCTTCAGGTACGAGGCAGGGGTTGCTGCTACACTTCTCCCGCAGTCTCATCGCTGCTCATTAATTATCGTGTGCGCATCACCGCACAGCGCCGTACGGGAGCTGCAGCCCTTCGGCTCCCAGGAGCTGGGCTCAGGGCCAAGGAGGAAAGAACAACCACAGGAGCACCATGAAACAAAACAAAAACAAGAGCGAGAGATTCAGAACGGCAGCGCAGGATTACCTGTCCATCCCTGGAAGGTTGCCCCAGAAGTAGCGCGCTCGGTGGGCGGCTGATATCTTGATGGCGTCAATCATAACCGGGTTACACTGTGGGCCGTGAGACGGGGAAACACAAACGTTAGAGGAGGTGAGGGCTCAGCCCTCTGCTGCACAGGAAGCCCTTCTCCACCGCACCGCAGGGACTTTCCGCAAACCCTCCTAAGATGTGGCCCCAACAAACCCTTGTTCCACACGCCAGAGGATGCTCTGCTTGGCCACATGGGCCCCCCCCCCCCAACCAACG